TTTTAGACCAATATGCAATTATTTAAACACACACACACACACACACACATTACAATATACAGTAAGTTCTTTAGGCTGAGATATGTGTGTTTGTAAAGATATTAATGATTTAAGAGACTCACATAAGCAAAGGAGAAGAATCCATTATGGTTGTATATAGGAACAGACAGGATGGTTTTAATCTGAGATATGAAGACATGAAAGGCAGCAGCAGTGGTGAAGCCGCCTACCAGTGGGTCTGAGAGATACCTGACTAGAAAGCCCACCTTCATCAGCCCCATAGCCACCTGAGATTAAGTAAAACAAATGAGTAGCAGCACTGCACTGCTGATTGACAAAATATAAATCTGCATTTGTTCAACATGTAAGCAAATGAAATACTGCAATTACAAAATGTGTAACTTGTTTATTTTATCTTTATCACAGGTTTTAATTGTGAATGTTGTAATTTTACCTGGAATAATCCAACCAACACCGTCATGGTACAAGCCACCAGGATTCTCTGGGCCTCTCTTGCCTCTACATCAATCTCCGTTAACCTTTCATCTGTCACTGTCTCATTCACACCTGTGATGTTCACTGAACGCAGAAAGTGCTCGTCGGGAGCTAAGGTCAAAACTACAGAACCCACCATCAAACAGGTGACAGGGAATGGACCTAAATGAGAAATAGAGACAAATAAGAGAACGACAAGAAAGCGTTGCATTTTTATTCAATATTTAGACATTTTCTATATGCATAATATAATTGCACGGATTACTATATTTGTATACAAGACTGCACACTGCATAGAATACTGTATGCATATGAATAAACCCAAAGTAATATCATTTTCTTTTTCTTGAATCATTAATTGCATTTCTAACAATCAAGACATTTTCTACATAAAATTGGATTAAATGACAAAATAACCATATACAAGATAATAACTGCATGCCATTTTTACAGAATAAAACTTTTTTTCAAATTTTTACCGTTACATACTATATATTGCATACCGTTTCACATAAAATAGTAAGTAGTATGCATGCAGTAGACAGTACAGTAGAATCACAGACCTTTTTTAAAGCGTTGCTTATTTGAAACCACTAGAAATGTATTTATTAATAAAGCCATAGACCTACCCACAGAGATGTGTCTGGATGTGCCCAACACAAAGTATGTGAGAATTGGAAAAAACGCAGAGTAGAGTCCATAGACTGGTGCTACAGAGGCCAGCAATGCATACGCCACACCTGTACAACAAATTCAAACAATGACCTCAAAGTGGCATTATGCTGATATTAATCTATGGGGTTTTGTTCACAGATTGCATCTTACCTTGTAAACAGCATACTAGTCCTGTGGTGACCCCAGAAACGACATCACCGGGTAACCATTGCTTGACTGGGTATTTAGGGAGCCAATCCAAGATTGGCAGAAGCCCCTTTATCTTCTGAACAGCCCATTTATCAGTGCATCTGTAAAAATATTTTATATGAATGAATATGAAGATGAAAACACTAGATGATATGCCATATACTCACCCGCAGGTTCTGCTCAGCCGTTCTCGTAAACTCTGGATCTCTTGGGCTTGTCTCTCATGAACCTGGTCAAAAACCCGGTTTGAGTAGATACGTCGTGACACGTGGTAATCGTTTTCATGAAAAAACTCGTCCATCATCTTGCCTGATTGTTTGCCTGTAAAATCTGCTTGTGTGTTGTATCTTATCTGTTAGAAAAAAAAGAAAAGCAGATTGATTAGATTTCAGATTCATTTCGATTTGCTGTTGCCAATGAAAATGTAAGTACAAAATTGGGTTATACATAAATCAGTCTGATTATACAAACTGTTGTAGATTTTCTACCTGCTGTCACCGATTCATTTTCTTTCTCTCTTTTTCTAGGATGACTAATCCAGATAAGCGAACACTTAGAAGGTCTTGCCTCCCGTGTCAGAACAATCTGACCGAACAGACCAAAAGAGCCCTTCTCCCTTTCTCTGGCAGTACCTCCCTGTTCAATAGACCAGCTCTTCCAGGTCTACACTAAGATCACTGAACCCATTGACATCAGAAACCCTTCCAAAAGTTGGGAGGGGATCCAATCTCCCTCTCTGAATAAGGAGGTTTGTGTCTACCACTCTTTCCCTCACATTTGAGAACCATAAGTACGAACACAATGGAAAACCTTATCCTGAAACCACTTAGTCAGTTTCACTATAATATCAGACGCCATTGATGTTAAATGAAATCCTGCATTTATTCAAGTGTAATTGAATAAATTAATTTCTTGTCTGTCATAGTTTATACTAAAATACTCATTGATTATGAAGTCTTACCTGTTAGGTTTTGAGTTTGTTAGAGTGAAATGCAGGGTTCATCCATGGCAGATGTCCTCTTAAATGCACATATTGTCCATGTCTATGAAGTCGGCTCTCTTAATGGGGCCAGCATCCCTCTCTTTTGTATTTATAAGTAGCGTTGGGATGTGGGAGGTGTATCAGGGTTAAGCACCAACAGGAAGCATGAGGGAATTACATCAGAGGCCCACAGCATGCATCCTTGCCAAGGGCGACTGTCCCTCCCAATCTTGTTGGAAAGCATGTGTGTCTGTTTGATAGTATATGAGTGTGTTTGTGATAGAAAGGGAGTGCTTTGGCAACACAAAATGTATTTTGCCATGCCAATAAAGCTATTTGAATTGAATTGAAAGGGAGTGAGGGGGGTCTGTTGATCAGTGCAGGTGTGACTGAACACTCAAGAAAGAACGATATGATCTAGCCTTCTTAGTACAGAATGTTTAGATATGGCCAGATCTCTCCTCAGAACATGAGCCAGCTCTTGAATACAAAGTGTCTGACGATCTGTCAGTAAGCCAGAACTGAGTCAGGTTCATAATTTGTGACGTAATCGTGATTACTACCAAACTAATTTTGACGCATACCTTATTTTTTAAAATCTTGAAAGGTACTGTAACAGTGAGGCATTTACAATGGAAGTGATTGGGGCCAATCTTTGGAAGATTTAAAAGCAGAAATATGAAGTGTATAATTTTATAACAGCACTTATATTCATTATTCTGTTAAAACTTGTGTATTTGAACTAAAAAGTTGTTTAAATCATAATCTTTACAGTCATTTATTTATTTTTACATTGCATTGTCATGGTGACAAAGTTGTACAATTTGATATATTTTATATACTACACAGAATAGTGATTTGTTTGTTTGTTTTTTTCATGCATATTTTAATCATTTTAACATGCATATTCTTTGTGGATTCACTTCCTTTTAAGTGCCTCACTACAACCCAGATTTATGCCTTTTTAAACAAAAAGGAGGAAGTGTAAATTAATTTTGTGATAACCAACATTATGCCACAAATGCTGTCGAATGAGCTTAACTTATACTGAACCTGGAGTCCAACTAGGTCAACTGTCAGTCTGGGGTTTGTGTATTATATTACAGTATATTCTATTCTATTATATTAAAGGTTATACACACACACACACACATAAATAATAGATTAATATTATTATAAAAATATAATTCTACGATAAATAACAAGTGTACATTATCATCACCTATACCTATACAAATCTTAAAGCAGTTATTTTTTTCTTTATTTATTCTTGCATTAAGATTTGTTCTTATCTTTTCCATTAAACTGATTTATTGTCATCTACTGTACATCAGAGCTCTGCAAGAAACATTTAGTCAAGGTTATGTGATTTGAATGTTATATTTGGCATTATAACATGATAGTTCAAGGCCTGTTGTATCGGATGTCACCTGATTTTATCATTTTCGACTTGGAGGAAGTTTCTGAACTATAAAGATGACATTTTATCCTTACACGTCTCTCACACGAGTTACATGTTGATTATGCAGTTTCCTCTCATATACTGGCCAAGATCATCTTTAAGAAGAAAAACTCAAGAGGTGCACTCATAACTTATTTCATATATTATTGTTTAGAAAATGGACTTGAAAATTTTCCCTCTAGTGTTCATTTAATGTACTTTTGCTGTTTTTATCATGTTAGATGGCCATGAGTCAAGAACATATCTAAATATTTATAAATTAAGATGACTAAGCCAATATTTCAAAGTACAGTTTAAGAACTACACATTTTTACTTCTTAAAGTAGCTTTGTAAGACTGAACAAACATGCAGAACTAACAGATTCACTCCCACCTAAGCTGCATGAGTGAACTTTGACCAGAGATAGAAATGCTTCCACTCATTATTTTATCACCCACAGAACACTTCACCTCCCTTAGTTAACCTCACTCAGATGCTAAATTGTTTACAAGTGACTCCTTTTGCATACTTCGAGAAGAAATATCAGTATACAATTCTGCAAAGCTACATCCCCTTATCAAAAAGTAGTATACTTCAAGTTTATTTTATTAAGTATACTTAAGTAAAGTTCAAGTATATTTTTAAGTATACTCTATGTAGCAAGTATACAAATATCAGTGTACTAGTAGTATACTTGTAAGTGTACTATTTCAATACTCCTTGGGACTAAATTGGCCCACTTTCTAGTATATAAAAGTATACTTTTAAGTATAACAGTAAGTACACAACCAGTTTACAACAATATTTTTAGCTTGTACTGCAACTATACTAAAAGTGAACATATGAATACTGATAGTTTTCTAATTAAATACTTGTAGTAGCATTTTTAGTACACTTTGAAGTATAGTCTTAGTAAACTACTAGTTTAGTAGTTTTATACTGCAAGTATACTCGTAAGTTTTCTTTAAGTGAACTTTACATCATACTTTAAGTATACTACTATGTCCCTATTTAGGTATTCATTTGTATATATTTTGTTATATAAATATCTGAACATACAAAACACCAAAAGAAAGAACAGGGTATCTGCTTGTATACAAAAACATTTTATTCTAGCTTCAAGCATTCTTTTTTTTAAACACTTGAATGTGGGTAAGTTTCATAATACAAAAAAGAAAACATTTTGAACAAAAAGCTGAAAAAAAGACTGAATTGGATTCAGAACGATAATCAAAACGTAGATAGAGTCGATCAACACCCCAAAGCTTGACAGTCATTATTACCTCTTCATTGGTCGACATTACATCAACTTTACACAGTTTTGATGCTGTTTTATGTCTGATGATCGTGTTAGATTACATGTCGAAGCATCTGTTGTTTCGGTTTCTTCTTCACTTGTGTTTTTTTGGAAATTCTGTACAGAAAATGTCTAGTAGCGCCCCCTACAGTATAACAATGAAAACACGGATTCTAGGAACACAAGTATAGCTCAAATATATTTAGAATTTTTCTAATTAGGCTATAAATCAAGTATACTTAAATGTCATTTTAAGTATATTTCTGAGAAGTACATAAAGCCCATTTCTGAGAAGTACATAAAAAGTAGACTAAAAGTATACTTTCCTAGTTTTTAGTTTAAAAGAAGTATACTAATAGCACACTTGAATAAACTTCTTTTTCGTAAAGGTCGTTATGCCACAAGTGTGTTTCTTCCACACAAGCGGATTATTGAATCATTCACTCAATCGATTCGTTGAACAATACTAAATTGTGACTGAAACAAGTCTACAAATTTACTATATTTCGCATTGTATTTAAAAGTCATAAACATTTTTGTTACACATGACAACAGCAGATATCATATTTTATCACTCTGTTTTGACTGTTAGGTTTTAACAGTTTTTACTTTGACTTTTAATCCTTCTCTCTTGGTTGTGAACAATAATTTGATTCACATGGCGCACTGAAGGAACGAAATGTTGTGTTGGCTGATTCCTTCATTTCGTTTCAATAAAATGTTCCAGTTCGTTCTTCCACTGAACTGTTCATTCAGGTAAAATGATGTTTTATAAATTATATTTTTTACAACACATCTGAATGTTGTTTACTCGTGTTATAGTTAGTCGTTGAAGGCAGAAAAGCATCAGCTCAGTGAACGCATGTCATGAGAACGATTCCTTCACTTAAAAGATTTGCTCAAACCAAAACACCACAAGTAGGCTATCACTGATTTTCGATCTAGTTTTGTATATGCAGTGTAATTTGTAGTTATTATTAATTAAAAGAATCATATTAGGCGTAATGAAGTTTTAGTTTCATTGCCTTCTCACCGAAAGCTACTAAACATATTTTGAAGAGGGTTTTGAAATTTTCTTGATTGTGGCACTCGCAGTTTAAATTACATTGGCGTTATTTATTCTTCCACATAACTCGCGGTCTACACTGAGGTTTTAAGTTCACAAGTAGTAACTGTCCCCTCCCAGCTGGTGCATTTTACTCGATACTCAGGTTGTGTCTCAAAATCTATCGAGCTGCCTACCTAGACAGCATTGTGGGCATCATAGACGCGTTTCTAGTCCTCGTAGCTGCGGTAAAGCTCTGCTTGTAACGCGTTTACGATGCGCAGAATGTTGCATGCGCCCTTGTTACCCACAGTGCTGCCTAGGTAGGCAGCTCAGGAGGTTTTAGGCGCAGCCAGCGTCTCAGTTCCGCAATGTGTAGCGGTATCTGTCTCAGAATGTCAGCAGGATGTGTCATTACTGGCGTTATGGATCTAAAAAGCGAGCTGCTGAAGTCCATCTGGTACGCGTTCACGTCTCTGGATGTAGAGCAGAGCGGAAAAGTGTCCAAGTCGCAACTGAAGGTCAGACCACCTGTGTACCTTTGACTTGACTTGCGTTTCAGTGTGTTCTCTTTACCTCTAGATTAAATTGGGTATTTATTTTATATGTACAGTGTAATAATGTTTTCAACATTGGAGATCGGTAAATGTCATGTTTTATTATCAAGAGATTGATATTGTTGCAAAGAAAGGAACAAAAGTCCAAATAGTCATGCCATATCAAACCTTAACGCACACACATACACACACTTTACTTAGCTATCTAAATGGGGACATTCCATAGAGATATTTTGTTTTTATACTGAACTAGTTATAAAATAGTACTTACATAAACCTGATCCTAACAGAAACCAAATTCAGCATTTTTATAATAACAATTAACAAAACTTTATTTTTTTATAATGTTTCAGATTTAGCTTACTTTTGGTACTTATTTGTCACCAAAATATTGTTAGGTGGGTACGCATAAACCCTAATGCAATAATAAATGATCTCAGATCATCTAAAATCTTATTTCTTTGTGCTATTTGTTTTAGAGGATATTGAGGGGGCAATTTAATGGCATCACTGGTTGGTAAACTTGAAAATAAATACCTAAAGACAAGTCAGTCTGCAGACAGCTTTGACAGTCTTTCTCATGTTTAAACATGTCCCGGGTCGGCCCTTTGCTCAAAATTTAGGCATAAACAGACATGCGTCCAGACTTGTTAGATCGTACACAAAGCATTTTTGCAATTGCCTGCAAATTTCTGTGTGTAAAACTATTGTATATTATATTAATG